AGTCTCGCGTCAGAATGCTCTAATAAATTGTCAGAATACACAATATATAATAATTTCGGAGTGATAGGAGTGCTGCGGCTGCTAGACCTCTCAAGTAACTGCTCCTGATAGCAAGTGACCCAACCCCGTTTGAGGGTCTGCTCTCTCGCTCATTTCTGTGTTCTTTCGCCTTCTCGTCTGGTCTCTCAAACGACACCCCAACAGATTGTCGCCTCTCCTTCGCTTAGAATCAAATGCAACGCGGAGGACCCCATAAAGTGGTCTAGACAGCTTTTTTGCTTTCCCTCCAGTAAACTTGCACAGACACTTTTGGTCTTTTAAGGTTTTTTTTCTAGGGACTGAAATCCACTCAATATTGTCGCTCCCATTCCGTACGATCGGATTGAAGACAATATTGCACACTCACCTCCGACGACTGTCCTTTTCATGTGAGAGTTGAACGGGTATGCAGCTGCAGTACGTAGCGTGTCTTTTCCTGCTGGACTACCCCTTAGCTCTCCTCAAGCTCTCACTTGCGTCGATGTCAAAACTCCGCAGGGAACTGCAGCCACTGGTAGAGAGCAACTGGAAGTGAGAGGGCGTAGACGCAGCCAGCGCGTTCAGTAACAGTTGCGCTCGTGGCCTGGCCGCTGCAACAGCGCGGGACCGGAATGCGGCGGCATCCCCCATATCACTACGCTCCAGATTCTTCGCTGTGCGCTCGTCGAGGGGAGGAAGTAGCAGCGCTGGTGCAGCCTGCGCTCCATTCACTCGCACATGAGCACACCGGGAGCCACGAAGGTTTGCGCCTTGAAGACATGCTCCGCGATAAGAATTGAATTGCGAGCTAGGAAATTTCCTTCGGCTATCCGCGAAATGTTTCTTCAAAAGCAGTTGGCACGATAGTTTTCTACTTAGCCTTAAAGGCTAATAGGGTAATATGGGGAAATGGCGAAAGAACGGAGTGAAACGGTCAAAATCCTGCGAAGAAAAAGCTTCCGTTCTCAGTGATTTGCAAATCGATTTCGGACGATGTCCAGGAGGCATCTTACCAATCACGCTACGAAGATACATATGTGGACCCATGTATTGCATGCAGCATCACGGCCGCTTCATGCCAATCTCTTCGTTCATAATTTACTCAGCAAATGAATGAAGTACGAGCGTCAGGAACGGTCGTCCATTTGTGGCGGCGGGCGTGGCTGGGACGTAAAGTTGTGGCTTGATAGGGCCCTTATAAGGGCACCTTCCTCGGGGAACCGCTATGCAGCGCCTGCCCAGGGTCGCGGAATTCTATCCTGCCAGGGTATTGATCCTAGTCGTCTTGGGGATTTATCGTGCCAACTGCCTTTAAATCTGGCTTTTATTTTGGCCGTCTCTCATTGCAAGTGCAATAAGATCGAACAAACCTCCATAACTCCGTCCAGAGGACCGTTTTGCAAATTTTGAAGGCACTTTAAAATCAGCATCTAAAAAGTGTCCAGTGAATCTATGTCTCATTATAAAAGACCACTTCGATCTGGCGACCTTCCATAGTCAGTTGATGATCTAGCCTACAGTCGTCATCCTTGCACTTGATAGTCAATGTCAGTGCGGCTGCGTGCGGCGCGGTCGCCCGCACCCGTACTGCACCAATCGTTGAACCAGGAAGTGACATTACTGTATTATATCCTTCGTGTTACTCGTTTCTATCACTTTTGTGTCAGCATGAGCGCGTTTCACGATAAGGCTGAGAAGCTTCAAACAGGTGTGCGCACGCTCCTTCAGCCGACAACGCCCCGTATTCAAGTGCAAGAGATGACGGACTGCTACACGTGTGAATGTTTTCGACGGCTGTTTGCAAAGTGCTTTGAGCGCCTCGGTACCAGGTCTGCTACCCGGCAGCGCGCTTTGGCCTTCTCACTGGAGAAGATTACTGTCATGAGAGCCGATTCCACTAAGTGAGGGCATCACGCAGCTAGGACTATTGGTTACGAAAGCGATTAGCTTCAGGCTCGCAAGTAATTCAACTCACGACCCTAGCTATAGTGGGCTACCTTGGTGCTCTTATGACTTGCTGCTCGATGGAACAGCTTCCGCCACCACAAAACTACTTCCCTGTCTACGCTTATTACTAGCCAAAAAAGGTCATCCTTGTGGCTCACAATCTTCACTTCGTACCTTTCAGCGCCCAATGATGTGTTACCCAAAGAAACATGCCAGTTTAGGATTACATTGTGTGGCACAACATACATCGGTAAATGAACGAAGAAAGGAGCGCAAGACAGAGAAGATGTGTAATTGCGGACGCCACAGCAGCTACCGTATACACGCCTACATTTGTTGAACTAGCGCCATGTTTTTTCGTACATACCTTTTTGAACCGCGTTTTCGTGTATTTTTCTTGTTGAAAGCAGTTTTAACAAGCTCTGCTTGAATCTTGAAATTTCCTCAATAGTGTTCGTTTTCTTATTTATGTGCCGGTGATTACAGATATACGAGTATTGGCATTATTTTATAGTTCAAAATTCATTATGAGCAGCGCAGCAAGGATAGCAGAGGTAACTTTAGAGTCTTTCAACATAATTCCCAAATTTTATTCCTTGTGCTTTTCGTAGTTTCGCTATGAATCAATTAAAAATTTGAGTAGAAGTGAATTAAAATAGTGTACGCAACCCTTGAACAGTTACAGTCATCAGTTACCAATTAGTTAGAGGGTATATCAGTTGAAATATTACGCTGTGGGACAAGGTACAGCTTCGTGGGGAGGACTCCGCGCGTCAGTTGTGGCTTGGAGGCTGTCACGTTTCGCTGCTGTTGTCGTGTTTCCCCCCCCGAGATACCTGAGCGAGTCTGTTGATATTGTATCCTTCAGGTTGATGGAGGAAGTGCCTAAGAACTCGGGTGCATGGCGCCGCTTCTGTGATTAAACTCAAGAAGGCGCTCGAGGATGCACGTTTACGGGGGCGAAATTCCCAGTTGTAAACCAAATAAACATAATAAGCTGTGTATCTCAGGGGTTGGGTTGGTGCGGCGCCAACCTGCTCTCCACCAACTTTGATCGCCAGCTTTCACACTTGGCGGAGAACAGGCTCGCGCCGCGCCAAACCCTTCGTCCTTCCCTCTGAAGTGCCTCAGCGTCTGCAGCGGAAAAGGCTGTACTTCCTGCTGTTGCTCCACTTACCTCCGATCAAGCGCTAAAAGCTGGTATCGAAAACGCTCATTTTGTCAGTTTGACACTTATTTTCCGTGTCCTCAAAAGTGACAGAAGTTAGAAGACCCCATAAACCTGAGCTTGTTGTCTTGATCGTAGTGAATTTCCTTACCTGACAGCCTAAAATACGCTGCGAGAACACATACTCTTTCGAAATTTTTTTGTTACAAAAAAGCCATCACTATGGACAATAGTTCGATTCGTTTTGTAATTTGTCACATCGGCGCTGTTCCAGGTAGTACGAGGAGTGTTCAGCTTTTCATAACATTTTGTTTAGGGTTGTTCGTCAGATAGTGATGATGACTTGTACACTCATAGTATTGACATTAAGAAGGTTAGAGGTGTGATAGCCACTCCTAGCAATTCATGCGGAGATCACAGAAATGGCATAAGCAGCAACTACTGGGACAGGTTGGTTGCTTATTTTGAGTTTTTTCTGGTTCCTGACAAGAAACACGAATACTGTTACAACCGCAAAATCTCAATTTATCGCTGAAACCCAATGTATAGGGGTGACTCTGTGCTCTGACTAGGAATTGACGTTCGTTTATAGCACGATCTTGTTCAGCGAAATTACTTTGCTTTATAAACTGTGCTCGCCTCGATAATGGAGTCTCCCTATCCTGCAAGGTGTCCCTTCTTGTACAACAACATAACGAAATCATCACAAAGTTGTATGCAGAGCTTACCGAACGTTCTGGGAATTTGTCACGCTTTTCCATTGCGTAAAACCAACAGTATTCGTAATCAAGGCCCCCGATTATGCCCACTGGATGAAGTTGGAGTTTTGGATGAAATTTAAGAGCAAAACCTGAAGATTTTTTAATTTTTTTGAGTGCTCCAGCAGCTTCAAAAGCGTGATTTTGCCAAATATGTTCAGATCCTTTCGTTGCGGCGAATTTAGTACCCATATGAAGTTCATATCCCGCGGCAATTCTGTTATTCTCTCGCACTATCTCGAAGCTGCAGGGTCTGTGTTTTCTAGACTAGTAAAAGCCATCAGGTTACAAAGGGCTGTTACACAGAATTCGAAAGATTTACTGTAAGCACAAGTTGCAGTCGGAATCGCGCTATATGTAAGTGCATAACACTTAGGTCAGGTTTGAAAAAAAAACTCAGCCAGAATGGTTAGATCACATACATCTTTCGAAGAATAGACGTAAGAAGGCATGTCTCCTTGTGTTAGCACGGTAAAACTACCCTCGTGAGAGTTCAGCTTGCTGCAGCAAACTTTCCCACATCGCACTCAAGATTTCCATGACATGATTCACTATTTTGATTAACACTGACAGATTGGGTTCTTATACAGTCTTGCTCACAGCGGATGAAGGGGTGTGTCAGTGAGGCTGGGTTTGGCGCGCCGTCAGTCCGTTTTCCAAAAGTTGTTGAAGCGATTAAGCAACAAGAGGTGGAAAACGAGTGATACGAACGATATGTTACAGTCTTGTTGCTTGCCGAGAGAAACAAAAGATAAAAACAGGCTCACGCCGCGCCAAATCCATCACTCCCTGACAGGCGCCATCATCTGCAGAGAACAAAACTGTAAGGAGTACCCGCCATTCTTTCTCTAATAACCTCTGCATGTTTGCTAAAGTCATTTTTCTCAGTTCCAGCCAAGCCTGATATTTATTCCGTTTCCGACTCACTCACTCTTTCCGATCCAGAAAACATATGCCCAACGGTGATTGCTCAAGAATTTGTCTCTTATGGAGCTTTTTGGACATTTTTAATTGCTAGAATGATCGTTCAAAACTTCTGCCTTCCATTCGGAATTATTTAGTTTTTTTTTCAGAAGGCTAAGAAATCCTCTAGGAAACGAAGAGAACGCATGGAACGAGAACAGCTGCAAGGTAATTAACAATTTCTTCTTTTTTTTCCGAGTTTGTTTTTTTGTGGTAAAAAAAAGATTGATATCAACCAAATATATTTTTCAGAGTTGGAGAAAATCATGCGCGAACCAACAACGACTGCAGATGTGCTTCGTCCCGTGAAGACAAAAAGAACAGCTCCGTTAGTTGTTGATGTGTGAGTACTAACATTACCGTTTATTTTTCTCATTTCCTGGTCGTAGTGAAAACTAATTTCAGATGCCGTCATTCAGAAATGTTAAATGATAGCGTGGAGTCTATAGAGTCAATAGCAGAATTACCTTCGAAAAGCAATGTTGCCTCTGAAGAAGATATCATAGATTTGGACAAAGAAGTTGACCTGTTTGTCACCGTCAATGTAGATAACGAAGCGGGCAAACCCGGGCGCTTCATGACCATTCGTCGGGTGAGAATTCCAATTGTTTTCATCAAGAAAACAACAGTTGTGTTTCCATCAAGAAAACAACACTTGTGGTTGCTCTGTTGACTTTTTTGTGCAATCGACCGGTGTGATGGGCTATAAGCTGCGGCTCCGATTACATAGGGCCATAGTGAAATCCCGAGCGGCCACAGTCAGATGAAAGTGCCACAGAAGCTTGGTTCCTAAACAACAGGGTGATAGAAAGTTAGAGTGTGCTCACGCGTAGGAGTGCATGCTAATTATCACAATCCAGCTGATCTCATAGTCCTAACCCTGGACTTCATTCGTGAGCGTTTTGGGAGGACTGAAGAAAAGCCGACTGTGCAAATAGTACCACCGTTGTGAATTCCTAATAATGCCTAGGGATGATTGGGGGACCATGTTCCTGGGTCCCTATTCTTCACGGTTTCTGCACCTAGTTCTTGTTAGACGGTTAATTTGCAAATGTTTCTCACAAATAGAGTTTTTATTTACTCATATGTCGCCTTTAGGATGAACCATTTGATAAGTTACGTCCAGTGTTTGCTAAGGAGTTGAAATGCCATCAACTCGATGTTTTGATTCATGTTAACAAGGTGGATGCTGGACCAGGTGATACACCAGATTCGATGGGTCTTGATTTACAGAAGGTGTGTTCTCTTCACTCTTGAGCCTTGGTTAGTCACGTCCCACTCGTTTTTCTGTGCTTCTCGAGGATATCAAGGGCCGGGCAAGGCGGCTATTCCCTGTGCTTCTCAGGCTATCAATGGCCATGTAGGGCAGCTACCTACCTAAGATTGTCTACTCAGAATCCTGTAGGGATTAGGAGGCCAAAGAGGATCTGCAGACTGCTTAGCCTGGCTGTTGGAGTGGTTTTAATGAATACCATATGCGCTCGTTCTTCCGAACTGGCGGTCTATAACTACTGCAGTTTTACACATTTAATTTTCCACACCTGTTACACTGCTGACGACCACGAACTTCCCTTCGGCGCTGATCCCGGGTTCAGCATATGTTCTCACATCTCTCTCCCTACATGTTCTGGCTGCTGCTTTTTCTAATTTCTCAGCTCGATGTTCATTTTTTGACAGAACCGTGGGAAACGTTGGAACAGTACAATAGCCCAAGCAAAGCATATCCCAAGCTTGCGTGGTGAAAACTCGAGATCATTTTGTCACCAAACCCCGCACTATTAATGCACGAAACACGAGCTGCTTAATAGCATGGGTGCGGATCAGATCGAATTATACCCAGAAACTAGATCGGCGCTTTTTCTGGTGAATTTGATTTACTGTATCACTTTTCCGTCACATTAGTGAGCTGCTAGTGCAAATGCCTTGCCGCCGCAACGCTGATCTGTCTGACCCGCGCCCAAATAGCTTGTATAGGGTGTTGTGTCGTTTTTCTTTTATAACATCGATTATTCCTAAGGTAAAGTCATTTTCAGTTAGCTGTGGTTAATGTATTCTCACTTAAATCCGACTCCAAATATGAAGAAGACCTTGCAAACGATCCAAATTTTATAGCAGTGAAGTGTATTTTTGCAAATGGCCGACCTCGCTGTGTGTACATTAGTCTGGTGAGTACAATTTGTTCTTCATAGCTTACTAAATGACTCCAGATTTTTGAAAATACAATAATTTTAGACGGAGCCGTTCTCTAATGCAAGGAAGCGCATAGCAAAAGAATTGAAGTTGACGAAGCCTATAGATAATTTGGATCGTTTGATAGCGACGTGCTCAGTGATAAAGACAACCCAGAAACTGTTGGTATGGAAGCTGATGACGTGATTGAAATATATTTGAAGGGATAAGATTCGTTTGTGCGGAGATTGAACTTTCCGTGAGCTTCATCTATTGCAAGTTCTTTCTTAGGAAACTAAGGATTCGCTAAAGTAAGCTTCATTGGTGAGCTTTCGCTGTAATACCAGCTTCCTCACTGTCAGATCTTAGGTTACAATAACAAATACTCAATATTACAAAGCTTAACAGAAGTTAAGTAATTAACCAGGCTGATCCGCTTGTCAACAGCAAAGTTGTGAAGTACCACAATAACAAGTTTGTTGTTAACGAGCGGGTCCGACTGCTTGGTTACTCAGCTTCTATGAAGCTGTTTCAATATTAAGACATTGCAATTTAAGAGGCTGTTATTATAGCGAGAGCTCACCAGTATAAATTTTCTGAGTTTTCAGTCCACAATTTGCTGGAAAAGGAAGTAGGATATGTGATATTTAAATTTACCCTCTATTTAACACCGGTTCATGAGATTTTTTCGTTTTTTCATCAAACATCGATTCTGCAATAGGAGTGTAATTTCCTCTGTAAATGCTCATGGTCTCATTTTAATTTGTAACTGCTGCACGGTGGTCTTTCTAGTGATGTTTGTCTGTATTAGTAAACTACTTGGCGTTCGGACGGGGCATGCACCGTTGCTTTTTCTCATCGATCTTATCACCTATACGGGGACAGACTTCTTGAGTGACAGTTTACGCTGCTTGCACTTTCAACAGGAGTCACAGTTTCACGAGTGAAACTGTTAATAAATTATAAGGTCCCCTCGCGAACAGCGGCAACTTCTTTATTATGATCAAGTCAATGCACGTTTCAAACCATTTTGTCTAATTCATGCAGACAACCTCACGGTATGATAAACCCTGTGATCGATTGTTAAGTGTTCCAACTTTTAAGCATTGTTGTACGCATATTCTAAGTGTTTTAGTTAATTCGAGAAATCACACACACAACCGCGCAAGCTGATTCCTAGACATACTTTGTCGCAACAATTATAGCTGGACAACTCTCAAAAATTTTTATTCCCTCCCCCCCCCCCTCCATTCATGATAAGTGTCCATGTTAATTGAACTGAAACTGAATCTTAAAACCCATTTCGTGAACTATTGAGGATACACGTGCGTGTTAACGTATCTTTTCTAAACTAGTCCCTCCTTTGGCCGTACTGTAAGCACGTATTAAGAAGTCACATAACTATAAGGATATCCCCATCCATATCTGAAGTCTTTGAAGAAATAGTAATCTCATGATGCCGTACAGAGTCACTAAACGTAATAACCATAAGTGCTCCCCACACCATAAGTAACAATATTCTTATGCAATAAATTATGATGCTTCATAGTGCTGACAGACATGGAGATGGCTACTGAAAATGGGTTACAAGACATCTGTCAACCGGATGCTCTCTCGCTGTGAGGGTCCAGAGGTGTTTTCTCATCGCATCTTCTGTTCGAGCATTTAGAGGAAGGAAAATAATGAAGAAGGATGAAAGAAGGAACGAAAGAAAACGAAGGAAGGAGGAAGGCTTCGCGGTTGACAGATATCCTGAGATCGCTGACAGTGAGGTGGGACAGAGCACAAGCAGAATTTGAGGATGGGCTCTTTCAAGGGAACCGCTTGTCATCGTGAAAAGCTGGAAGGTGTTAGGTCGCAGTGGTCATAGAATGTCTCGCAAACAAGAGAGCACAAAAAAGAGCAGACGTTCAAAAGGACTGAGTCAAACTGTCAGCAAACCGTGAGGAAATGGGACACGATCTGATATTTTACCCAAGCGTCCGTTACGAGTGGTCCTTTGACAGCTGCATTTTTCTATTCATGAGAGTACTAACGGCTATACCTCCAAGACATCCAGTGTTGTACAGAGTAGCTCACGCCTTGGCTGATCGGTGACAGCTGTATACGAGTTCCTTCAACAGAAGCAGTTTTCACTCATTTAGTCAGCTTTCCGACTAAATCGATAGGTATCTACTCTCAGGCACGGAATCTTCGCGTTCCAGGTAGTACACAAGCTTTCGTTTTCATTGACTCTTCGATTCTCTAGCAGGGCACGCCTTGGCGCTAAGGAGCATTCTTCCCGAATTTCCAACCCCCACCCCCAAATTTTCTCTTCCAGTGCGACCCTCTACGACCCCCCTCTGCCGTGTTCTCCGGAGCTGCAAGGTATCACTACAGCCCTAAAGCTATTCATCAACTACTTTACACTGAAGGATAGTTTTCGCAGTTGATCAAGCTCTTTTGGGATGCGCCACGCATTCCACTTCCATTCAGAGCCGTGGCTTATTCAATGTGACGTATTCAGTGAATACAATCTAATTTAGCTAATTAATTAGGCTCCTCTTCAGTACGACAGACTCAAAACCAATAATTTATTGCAGTATCCTTATGCAAACGTTTCACTAAAAATCAACATTGTGCCGCTCAAATGACTTTGCGGCAAAACAAGTTGCACACTAGGGAATTAGAGGGAAAGCCTAGTTGGCTAATTAGTAGTGCAACGCTTATCTACTCTACAGCTAAGATAAATAATGCCATTTCACAGTTGATGAATAGGGTATCAATATCTTGACACCGGAGAATACAAGAAACTATTTGGAACTATAAATGCTAAACTACTATTGAAGATATTAGATCTGGACTAAAAACAAAGAGTACCATTGATTACCGGGCATTGTGGGTACCTATGATTTTCGAACGCTTAAGCTTTCTCCACCAAAGAGACGCCACTCATCTCCGTAGGCTGGGGCAATCCCATGACAGTGAGGACGGTCGGAGCGACATCACACAGAGCTGGTGCTCGATCAGTGAGCTGAATAGAGAAGAAGTAAGATAAAGAAGAGTCGGCAAAAAGTGACAACATGGGGAACTTGCCTTCTTGAACTTGAAAGCGGAACTGCTACAAGTGAACGGTACACGGTTACAAGTATGAGCAGTGTGTTTGCTGCCATCCGGGGCCTTCATCTTTTCGGCATTGCCGTGATCAGCGGTCACCATGAGCACGTAGTCTGTATAATGTAATCTTACTCGATAGCAAGCAAATATTCTGGATGACCAGCAGGGAAAAAACAGCTCACCGTTGGCTTTGCAGGCCTCGAAAATTCTTCCGATTGCGATGTCAGTGGCTTCGCAGGCTTTCACAGCGGCCTCATATACCTGTGCAGGGGCATTACAATGGGCTAGATCCGCGAATATGACTGCAAATGCAATGATAACAGTTAAACTCACTCCTGTATGGCCAACCATATCAGGAGGTGCGAAGTTGCACATAACGAAGGGATGCTTCTTCGCCTTGATGACCTCCACCATTTTGTCAGCTACACCGGCTGAAGACATTTCCGGCATCAAGTCATACGTTGCCACCTGAAACAGCTTTTTCAATTTCCTCTGAAAGAAGAAATGAAAAAAAGCAAGCTGCACCTTTGGACTGGGAACCATGCATCTTTCCTCGTTCTCGAACTGCTTCTCAACTCCTCCATTGAAGAAGAACGTCACGTGCGCATACTTCTCAGTTTCAGCACAATGGAACTGAGTCAGTTTCTGGAAGCACGACAAGTTGGAATACTATTCTTATAACAGTTCGAAAATATGCCACTAGATTTAAACACACCTGTGTGGCTAGCCACTCAGCCAGCACGTTCTTGTTGGAAAGCGGAGGGAACAGTGCGGGGAACGGGAACTCTATCTTGTACTGCGTCATGCCTACAGGAGTTCGCATCAGCATTAGACTATATTCATTTATGAAACTAGTTTCACAGACCTATGACTTGCAAATCTTTGGGATGAGGCAAAGACGATTTGCAATCCTTATAACGCTCCATTCCCATCACCTAAAATTATTCTCAATGGAATAAAGAACAAGAACACACACTGAACACCATCCAGAAACATCAGAAAGCTTATCGTAAAAGAACTTTGAAAACCTAAGGAGAGCCAAAAAGCTTGCAGTTCTTCCTTTTACTATTTTCAGTGCACAGTACCTTTCTTGGCGACCATACTACATCACACAAAAGTTTACTCTGAATCTGAAGATCTTATCTAGCCCACGCTGGTCTGCCAGAACAAAAGTTCACAAATTTAAAGATGTTACCCAACCCACGCTGGTCTTTAGCAATCACGGAACTGATTCCACGAAGTTATTTCGTGATAGCTAAGGCACACTCCTTGATGTATTTCACGTCGCTGACAAAAAGGAGAATGGAGGAAGCTTCTGCCTTCACTTTTGAGTAATTTGAAATTGTGTGCAATCTAGTGTCGATGCCTATTCGATTCCAGTTCAGGCTGCGTTCATACTTCGCGACCGACGAGATTCGGCAATTTGGGAAACAGCTATCCTGCGCTTTAGATCGCCATATCGGCTGAACCTCCGCAATCGCTAGCGACCGGCGCCGATTAATACCCTTCACATTTTTCGCGTGCAGTCGCCGGAAATGCTGAGTCTGAGGTATCGCCGGATCGCTCAGTCGCCAGATTAATACCTATACTTTGCTCGCCGCGCAATCTCTCAAACATCTCGCGCATGTCGAGTCCCGAGGATCGAGCGTCGAGGGAGGGCTCGAGTCTTCCAAATCAATCCCCCCTTATTGCAAAGTATGAACGCGGCCTAAGACCCCAGAACAGCATGCTCTAAGATCCCAGGACAGCATGCTATCATGAAAGAAAAGCTATGAAAGTTTTTATGAAATAATTACCTCAGAAATCTCTCTCATTCGATCGGCTCTATAATCGAAGAAAATGAGCGTGTCACCGTCCTTTACTCTTGCCTTTTCTCCATTCAGGATGATTGGCTTGAGGAACTCGTCGGTTTCTTGAGCTTCGTAGCGCTTTCGCACTAGAGCTGGAGCCTTAACAGGGAGAAAGCTAGACGCAACAAAAAATGAGGACTAAAAAACATGGAACAAAGGTTGTTGAGGGGCACACGGCATAGCACTTATAACACGTCACGCTCGGTAATCTGCACCCTCTCAACGAGATAACATCCACGTCAGCTTTAAAAGTGATTCCAGGCACATTCTTGGGAGCAATAAAATAATATGGTGCATATCTCAATTCATATTGTCCTGGTGAGAAAGGGAGACGAGCAGACAAGACGCGGCACATCTGGATTGCCGCGTGCCCCCTCCTAGCTACTTTTGCCTAACAGTATCACCAAATAGTGTATAGCTGTTGAAGGTACCTCGTCAACAGAGCACGCCTCGCCTTTTCCTCCAATCATAGCTTCATAGGCCACGCAAATTCGTTCCCAACGCTTATCACGGTCCATCGCGTAGTAACTGAAAATTGAAATTTTTACTGTAAGCATTCCATGAAAGTAACCGAATGTACTAGCAATATCCGAACATTCTGATTCACAGAACACCGTCATCTGGCGCTGTTTATCGACGGGGGGAGGGGCATTTTGTATTATAATTGCTTCCCTGGTTCCGGTTTACAAATCTCACTCTGGTAAAACTTGTGAACGCTTGTGAAGCTGGAGCAAGATCGTCTAGCCACCATCCTAAAACGTGTCAACTCGAAAAAAGGGTACCTAGATGGGTTGGCAAATCTATGAAAAGCAGAATGCCCCCCTCGTCGACAGACAGCGCCCCGTCATCCTTTTTAGACCGGGTCCCACGTGAACCGGACAGACACAGTTGAACAAATCCGATTACAGTATTCCAATTACCAACGCAGTTTGGTAAAAGGGTGGTCTGTACTGCAAAAGATGAAAGAAACTAATGCTCACCGTCCAACAATGGTTGCCAAATGGCAATAGGATTGCTCCTTCATAAAGGCAATGGTCTTCTCGAGGAAGCCAACCCCACTAGTCGGCGAAGTGTCACGACCATCTCCGTAAAAATGAAGGAAGCATTCCGGTACACCCAGTTGCTTGATGCATTTTATCAAAGCGAACAGATGATCTGAAAAGTGTGCTCTAAATCAAGTTAACGAAACATTAATTGTAATTAGTGAACTGGAAGTTTTTCGGCGTAAGATCCGTGTAGAAGAACTGACCTATGTGGGAATGCACTCCTCCATCAGAAACAAGACCAGCTAGATGAATACGACCGTTGCTACCCTTGGCACGGTTACACGCAGCTATCAGCGTCTCATTTTTCACCTGAAGAGGATTACTCACATGCTTGAGTGAACGAATTAACGCGAATATAACGCGAGCGATAAAGTGAAGG